AAATCCGCGGGGGATTTAAATATCCCCCGCGGGATTTAAATAAACATGGCCGCCGCTTTTTTTCCGGCTTGGGGAAAAGCTGGAAAAGAGCATCCAGACTGGCGCGATCCTCTGGAATAAAGCCCTTTTCCGGAGGATCTCTTATTCCTACTTGCAAGGAATGTTTGAGTGTTTGTAGGGTTGCTCCGCGTCTCCCTGGTCTGCTGAAGGGGGGGAGGGGGGAGGCAGAGTTGCTCTGCCCCCGGCTTCCTGGAATCAGCCGCTGATCAGTTTCAGCAGCAGCTGACTTGGGGACGCCTGGGGTTCTTAAGTTGAATCTGTATGTAAGTCAGAACTGGCATCCAGATTCAGACGCTGTTGAAACTGATCAGTTTCAGCAGCGGCTGAGTCTGGACACCAGTTCCGACTTACATACAGATTCAACTTATGAACAAACCTACAGTCCCTATCTTGTACGTAACCCGGGGACTGCCTGTATTTAATACATGCATAGCTCTGAGCTCTTGTGTGAGGAGAGTCTGTTGGATGTGATTGGATTAATGTTGCTTTAGGCAGAATGGCACTTATATTTGAAGGTGCAGCTTGCTCACATCACTGTAGTTGGGTGTTAACTCTGCTCTTTGGTCTCGTTAGGTTTCAGAGTGCCCGAGAACAGTAGAATTTCTATTTGATGAACTAATTGAGGGTTTATGAGTTCATAAAATGGAAGATCTCAAAGCTACAATTCAAACAGGACGTAAGTTGCAGTATGGTGTACTGCAACACCTGTTCTTCAAACCATGCAAAGCTATTTCCAGTGCTCTGAAGGCATCGGAAAGTGAAAGGACGATGACTGGTTCTTCATTATCATCACGTTTTGTCATGTGATTTGTTTGTTTTTCCTTTTGGGTGGAAAAAATGCTCCTACATCTGGTCATTAATAACACTGATTATATAGTGTGTGCCTAATTTGCTTCACAATTACTGCAGTTGTGTGCTCATATCTACACAGAAGAGGCCAAACAGACACCAATTGAAATAGCTGTGGTCCTGAAACTACCCTGCATTTAACTTTCACATTTCACTGTCACATGTAGCACTTTTATTTCGACTAGCTGAGGATTTAATCATACCCTTGAACTGAGGGTGGAATTCCCATGGGAGTTGCATAACCGCAGGAATTTGGACCTAAATGCTTATGGCCTACAGGTAAACCTGTCTCCAACAGAGCTGAGATTTCACCTTATGTCTGTAAGCAAAGCTCCCAGTAGACCAGAGTCTGAGGAGTGAGGGTGTTGCAGGTGCTCAGCATCTCTCTGGTTTAGGCCTATTGTTACCAGCATAGTCTATGCTCCAGATCTTGTCAGTGTGGATCTAACCAGTGTTGCTCTCATTTGCAGGAAGGCAAAGACAGCGTGGCTGTGAGAGTAGCGCTGGGAGAAACCCAACTAGTCCAGGACGTCCGCCAGTTCCTGATGGACAATGGAGTCAGTCTGGATTCCTTCAGTCAGGTGAAGCACTTCAGTAGCCCTGCTCAGCATACACCTACAGCTGCAGCAGCAGAGGGCTTTATTCCTTCTCACTTCATTGTATTCACTGCAAATGTGAGGGGGTAGAATGTTCAGGAAAGAGTTTTGCAGGATAATGGTGAAGGGTGCTTTTTATTTAAGAGTGGGACACTCCTCTATAAAAATTTGGATGGTCAACAGACAAGAGGCTGTTGTATAAATTAGCAATCTGCCGCCAGATTAATGTGTAAACTGGGTGCTAAGAGATTTGGGAAATTTTGCTGTTCATCTCTTGATCGCATGGTAGCAGTACTCATGAAAATTGAGGCAGCTTTCACTTCTGTCACACATATCATTATTTCCTGATGCTTAATCTTTAAACTGCCATGTCTAGATGCACAAATGTTGATTTTTATTTAACTTTTTGGTCCAGTTTTCAGTGGAGTAAAAACAGACATGTCTGAAATTGGTGCTAGGCGAGAATAATCTGCATGGCATCTTTGCATACTAAACATCCCTGATCATAGACCTCATCAGCACTGCTCTGCATATAGGGTTTGCTAGTTGAGGACTAGTGCAGGACCACGTGAACAAACAAAGCTTATTAAGAGTTATCCTTCTCTTTCTAGCCGTTAATGTCCATGTGTAAAAGTTTAAGTCACTTTAGGGTTATGTGCTTTCTTCTTTCCACCTAAGTCTCTCTAAAGTGAGGGCTTGATCCAGATCCCCTCAGCGCTCATTGAAGTCAGTTGCTGAGACTGTAGGATGGAATCCTAAATGTGTAGTAGATCCACCTGGGCCCTGCCCCGTGAGTGATTCGTGATTGAGTCTGTTGGACCTGCATTTCAAAAGGCAGCAGGAGCCTTTTGCACAGTTCTCTGTGGGTTTTCAGTGTGTCTATAAGGTATATGAATTGGAGCAGAGTAGCATTTAGTCCCAAAGTCTCAGATGTTTGGTAAGAATTCCCCTCTATATTGGTGTGGTGTCATTTTTTTTTTCCCCCCTCACCCTTGACAGGCTGCTGCAGAGCGGAGTAAAACTGTGATCCTAGTGAAGAACCTTCCTGCTGGCACTAAAGTGATGGAACTGGAGGAAGTCTTTGGTCCATATGGCAGCCTGGGGCGGGTTCTGCTTCCGGAAGGAGGGATCACAGCCATTGTGGAATTCTTGGAGCCTACAGAGGCCAAGCGAGCCTTCACCAAGCTGGCCTACTCCAAGGTAATCATGGTGACAGCACCGTGTGTCATTTAATGTGGACTTCATACTGGGTAGGCAATCCAGACTAGTGCAAATCCAGTCGTCTTCTCTGTTCTGGCGTCAGCACTTTGAGAAGCCCGGTAGGAATAATTTTATCAGGTGTCAATATGTTAGTCTTAGATGTAATCATTAGGAATGGATACAAGTTCTTATTTTGTTCAGCCCCTGAATTAAGCAATTTCTGGAAGAGAGGAGAAGCTCAAGGCACCTTAAGGAGAATAAAAGCCCTCACCTTGCAAGCAAAAGTTGCTGCTGTTTGCAATTCACAGCTCGAATTGTAGTTAAAAGAATCTTCTTATTTCCTGGTTCTTTGATAATATTCAAACTCAGCTCTAGAGAACACTCTAATCCCGTAGTGAAAGCATACCCTGCAGGGAGAGCATGCAACTGTGCCTTTTAACTTCCAAACAGTCCCCAGTCTTGTAATATGTCCTATGACTGTGCTTGGTCCTGCCATGAGGGCAGGGGACTGGACCTCTCGACGTCCCTTCCAGTTCTAGTGTTCTATGATTCTATGAGAAAGCAGAGTGGAGATTTGAACTTACATCCCCAAATTCACTTCTCCCCTGCCTTGTAGAAATCACTTGTATCTGTCACCCTTGCAGTTTCAGAACGTCCCTCTATATCTCGAGTGGGCTCCCATGGGTGTCTTCTCCTGCCCACCCCCCGAGAAGAAACAGCCTGAGATTCCAGAGGAGAAAGGAGAAGCAAGGCTGGGAACTGGTAAGACTTTTGACTTGTGGGAGAAGATATTTGCTGTAGTGTGTATCACTCTGCTCTTCCCTTGTAGCAGTGGCCATGCTGTTCTTGTCCTACATGGATGAGAACCTCCATCTTACTGAAAGTCTCCTCTTGAAGAGGTTTTTGTGGCTTTTGTGTCCAGAGATAAGCAGAGTTTCTCTTTCCATCATTCTGCAGGGCGCTTGACTACTGACCTGGAAAACCAGTAGTTCCTAGAGCTAAGCAGTGCATTTGCTTGCTGCTGCCATTCTCTCCTTTTGGGTTTTTGGACTCCAGTGTTGATGTTGGGAATGGGATTAAGCTTTCGTGCACCAGCAGAGTGTTTAAGGTCGGGGGTGAATAGAGCAGTGTGGAAGAATGTCTGTGGTTCAGATGCAAGCATTATTTATGTTACTGTAGCACCAATGGGCCCTTGTCATAGACCAAGACCACATTGTGGTAGGTGCTGAACAGAAACATAGTTCTTGCCACCAGGAGCTTAGCTGTCAGTTTCTAGTCTTGTATCAATGTACATGGGAGTACAAGTGAACAACGAGACAGTATTGACCAGCATGAGAGGTAAAAGTCTGTTGTGTAGGCATCCTGCCAGCAGAGGGATCTGGAGGAGAGTACAGTAATTCCTCATTTAACATGTGCCTGCTTAACATGTTTTCGCGATAGCACTATTTTTTTTTTTTAGGGAACGTTTTTTGAATTACACGACCATCCCCGGAATAACATGATTTCCCCAGCCGGTCCATTGCCGGCAGCTGCGCGGGGCTTCCCCCTCCTCCCTGCAAAGCGGCGGAGGGTTCGCCGCGCCGTTCCCCGCTGACTCCCCCTCACCGGATGCAGTGCGGGTCCCAGCAGACCCGTCACAGGGGCATACTCCCAACCCAATCCCTCTCCACCCTCCTATCCTTCCCTTCCCCAAAGCCAAACACCTCCTCTCCCTGCTGTAACCCAGTCCCTTTCTCCTCCAACCTTATGTCCCGGTCCCAACAGACACCACTGCTTGAAACACAACTCCCACCTTTTCCATTATTTTCAATGAGAAAATTGACCCTGCATATCACGTTTTCACTTAACACGATCATTTTCTGAAACATATCTATAGTGTTAAATGAGGAATTACTGTAATGAGGAAGGTGGAAGGATGTTCATGGACAGTGCCTCCCAAGCGTTTGGAATAGCATGGGAGAAAGCATGGAGAGGTTTGAAAATTTAAAAGTGGGAATTTAAAATTCAGCAGTGAACGTCACCAACTTGGCAGCAAATGAAGGGCTATGAAGGACCTTGGCTGTCAATACAAGTGGTTTATATTTGATGTGTGACAAAAGGTGGAGCCAGTAGAAGGATGCAAAAGGGGCTGACATGTCAAAGTGATGGGCTAGGAAAATGTTCTTAACCTCGAATTTGTGTTTGCCAGCAAGATTACCCAGAGATGAGGTATAGAGGAGAGGAGAAGAGGGCCAAAGATAGAGCCCTAATGAACCCATGGCTAAGTTGAAGGATGGATGAGGAAGATCCCCAAAGAGCACAGAGTAGAGGTGATTGATAATTTTTGATTGCAGGCCATTTCAAGAATATGATAAGTGGTCAATGGGCTACCCTTTTCTATGAAATAAATGGAGGGAGCACCTAGTTTGAGATGGTAGTTGGGTACATGAAGGAGTTCTGGGTAGGATTGGATTACAGAGGGGTTGTGAGGTCTGACCAGGTGTTTGGGTGAAGGAGAAGATTGTTACCTGGGGCATGAGATTGGGGTGTAAGAGCTGGTACAGGGTCTGGTAGGGAGCTGTGACCAGGTGCAGGGGTGCAAAAATCTGTGCAGAGGGTTTGGGTTGTGACCTGGGGCAGAGAGTTGTGATGCAGGATGAGATGAGGTGCCAGGTACAGGCTCTGACTGGTACGTACGTACTGTAGGCAGCTCCCAGCCAGCAGTCCAGTGGGACCCCCAGACAGGCTCCCTGCCTGCTGTGCCCCCCATTCCACATGCTGCTCAAAGTGGTTGGTTGCTGGGGCTATAAGAGCATCTATGGCAGTGTGGACACTCTGGGTATGTCTACACTACCCCGCTAGTTCGAACTAGCGGGGTAGTGTAGACATACCCATACAGAGAAACACATGTTGGCCCCAGCAGCTTGGTGATTTGAGCAGCATGTGGGGCCATGGCAGGCAAGGAGCCTGAACAAGGGTCTTCCTGGGCTGCAGTACATTTGTGGCCCAGAGTATCATAACTATCCATATTTTGCCCATCCTGGCATGGAGTTATAAATCCACAGGAGGACCAGATTTCAGAAAAGAGTGTAGATGGGTTGAGAAAGATGAGTAGAATCTTCTTACTTTACATTTTAGAAATGTGCGTCTGTCTGTTTGTTCAAGAACTCTTAAATGATAAGAGCTAGGACCACTAAATTTAGCATACAGCTTCCTCTTATCATAACATAAAGTGAGATCAGGGTTTGGTTGTGCCAGAACAATGTGGTGTGCCTGGAATTCAATTGTTTCTCATAAAATAGAATGGGAGGAATCTGGTATAAGGGAGAATTATTCTATAGTATGACCACTGGGGGGGAGCAAGGGGTCAGAGATGGGGACTATAGTTATTGGGCCAGCAGGAGTGAGGGCTGGAGAAAGGGACAGTTATCTTCTACCTGTTTGAGAGTTTGTGTGTCTCTGTCCCCCAAGTGAGGGACATGCACCTCTGGCCCCAAGCTGCAATAGGGAGAGAGGGCTGGGATTGTCCCCTCTCTCAGGGCAGCCTGCCTTTTGAAGCCCTTATCCCCAGCCCCATCCCAGAACAGTGATTTAAATGAAGAAAAACAAAACTTATTTAAGAACCTGAGCAATGACAGGTGAATCTTCTAGTTGTAAATAAAATCAGTCAATTTTTCAAAGCATTTTAGTTGAAAAATTACTTTTTTAAAATTGAAAATTTTGTTTTTCACAAAAAGATTTCTCTTTAAAATTATTTTACTGCAGATATTCAAAATGCTATCAGAATGGCTATTGACATTATTCAATAAAAGTTTAGGTTAAAAACATGATATGTTATACAACACCCTTCTGAATCTTCATTTTTGCAAATAGTCTTTTCAAAATTTCTTGTTTTATTAGGATGTCTGATTGAATTCACAATAGAATACATGATTTCCCTCCTTCACTTTCATTTCTTGTCTTCCTTGAATGAAAATAGAAGGCTCAATTTCAAATCAATGGTCTCAATGCTTTTGAGGATCACGATTGACCGTAACATGAGTCTGAGAATTAATTTTCTGATCGTTAAGTGAGATTTGAGAATGACAGTAACTATTAGTGTTAAATGACTACAGCAGATCTTTGCAGGGCCACCTGGAGGGGGAAAAAAACGTATAGAGGTTAAATATCCTATATAATTGAAAGTTTGTTTGTCTGGCTATGTCCACACTACGAGTTTTCTTGGCAAAAAATATGCTAATGAAGGACTCATTTGCAGGAGTCATGATCTCATTTGCATATTTTCTGCCAATCCATTTTTTCGCTAGGGTTTTTGCGCAAAAGCAAGCAGTGTGTGTTTTCTTTTTGCACAAAAACCCCTTTTCTTGCAAGATCAGTAAACCTCCTTTTTTGGGGCATAAGGATCTTATAGGAAAAGAGGTTTTTGCGCAAAAAGGAAACATCCACATTACTTGTTTTTGCGCAAAAACCCTAGCAAAAAAAAGGATCAGCAGAAAATATGGAAATGAGATCATGACTCATGCAAACGAGCCCCTCATTAGCATATTTTTTGCTGAGAAAACTCGTAGTATAGCTGTAGCCTCTGAGAGTCTGTTCAAGAACTCTTCTAAAGGGTAAGAGCAAGGGCCGCTAAATTTGTTATGCAGCTTCCTCTTACCATAACATAAAGCAAGGTCAGGATTGATTGTGACAGGACAATGGGATGTGCCTGAAATGTGATTCTCATAAAATGCAAAGGGGAGGGTGGTCTGCTTGCATGTGCAATTACACTGTTGAATTACCACAGGGGAATGGGCACACTGGTATGAGAGTGGCTGGCTGGGAGTGGAGCTCTGAATGTTGCTGGCTACCTGTAAGGTGGTGGGTGGGCAGCATGGCCCCTGTTGCCACTCCCAGGGAGCTCCCCTGGCCAGGCAATATAGCTCCCACTGTCACAGTCAGTGCCGGTAAGCCCCCTGGCCAGCCTCAGGTAGCCACCATCTCAACTTCCTGTCCTGAGCTTCCCACCCCTGCCCTGAGAGCCCCCCCCCCCCCATTACACCTGATCGCCTACCCTGATGTCCTGCACCCTCCACATCTCTGTCCTGGGTCCTCCACTCCCTGCCCTGACTCCTGGATCCCTCTGTAATGACCCGAGCAATGCCTGGTCAGTGTGCTAGTGTTTGAAAGGTTAGAAAAGGGGAAGCCAGCGAAGAGATTCAAAGAGAAATTGTTTGCTTAGACTTTCCCCTTGTTCTCCCTTATTGCAAAAGTCTTGTGGACCAAGAAAATGTGCATCTTGCTTGGTGTCAATCATTTTTAGCCAGTGGGCGAACTTTGAAACTGGTGAACGTTTGACTTTTTTGTGAGGATCTATAAGCTTCTGTTTTACCTTCTGATCTTGAGCCTTCAGCAGCTGTACTGCCCCAGAACAGAGGACTGTACCAACTCCTTGCTTTCTTAGCTTGGAATTAGAAGGTATGTTCAGTGCCTTGAGACTCTGAGGTTTGCTCCTGATAGCATAGACTCTGTTAGAGGCCATTTTTAAATACCTTGGTGAATGGGACTAACTCCACTTCTAGTGGAGGTGATCACACCATTGAGGATCTCGCCATTAGTTGAGGTGCGCATGATTTTGTGAATTCTAGTGATTTAAGAGTGGGCCTCACGGGTGCTTAGATACTGAAATGACAGCTGATGAGACGTATTTTTGCTTTAGAAAGGGTATTATTATGATAGCCCAGACCTGAAGAAGAGCTGTGTATCTCAGAAGCTCATCTGTCACCAATAGAAGTTGGTCCTGT